TGTCACAGCTATTAACCTAGTAAATAGACACGCCATATCATAAAGTGTAGTCAAGTATCTGAAAATAGCTAATTTGGGTTCTCATTTACACTAATCTATACAATATAAAGAGGAAAGATTTGTATTTTTATGTATCGAAATAACTGAAAAACTATTGGGCCGATTTCACATTTTTTTCATCATTAACAGCTACGTTTTTTTTAATAATAATAATTTATTTATTGTCTCTTTTGTATACGTTTTAAGGAAGTCTTGGCTCCTGTAGTAGGTTGCCCTGTGTCACAGGAGCCAATTCCTTCCCCAATACATCGTTACAATCAGTGAGTAACATGGACTACATTTAACAGTGGTAGAGCCCGCTTTAACATCTTCGCACGAATGGGTCGGCTCGCCCGGTGTAATACCACGACCACACAGAAAACTGGGGTGAAGTGGAAGCAATTCCGCGTTTCGTCTGATGAGTGTGGTGCCGGTGGCCTAATTTTAGTCCCTTTCCACCCTTTTCTTAAGAGGAAAGGATGGGAAGGAAAAGTGGATTTGACGGTGGAGGAGAGGCATAGGAATTGGAAATGTCCTCTTTATGTGCGTCTTCTCCGTCAATTAAGGGTAGGCAACGCATCTGCAATTGCGGATGTCTATGGGCAGCGGTCACTTTCCATTTAGGTGGATTTAGGTGGCCGCTTGGTCGTTTGCCACCTTATTTTATAAAAAAAAAAAATCACGTGAAGTTGCGAAGAATAGACTAATAAAGAGATGAAACAAGGAAAATGCTATACTCGTTAATAAGTTTGTTTTTCTTTTAGAATGTAAATTTAACTTACTGGTTTAAGTATAATTAAATTTGTATCAAGAGCGTTATGAATATCTCATACTCAAATCTTAGACAATGATTGTCTCTTTAACGTACTTAACCCTTCATTATTTACTTGTAAAACATAATTAAATAATGAGTAACTAAACCGTTAATTATTAATTAGTAATATCCGAAACATGTTACTTGTTATCTTTAACATTGAAAAAAAAAACGGTAATGATGTTTATCATAATTAAACGTTGCATTCAACCTTTAAATCCAATACTTTTACAATAACCTTAAAAAGCGGAAATAAATAATTCTGTTGTTGACATTAATTTTCATTGTAACACGATAACAGTAGTATTTGTAATGTACATTATTTAGAAAAAAAAATCTGTAATTACGTAAACTCTATGAGGATTTATTTACTTAAATGCTTAAAGAAACTATATAAAAATGATAATAACGTGACAAAACAGTTTGTTATCACACAGAAAGACATTTAGATATACACAAATAAAAGTTTTAAAACCTTATCTTTTTAGATGTCATGTTTAATTTATACTAATATTACATACTAGCTGTTCCCGTGACTTCATCCGCGTAAAATTATGAAAATTTTATAATATTGTTTACATGTGTCTAATTATTAATTGCAAATATCAAAATGACATGATAACAAACCATGGCAACCTTGCTTCCTTGATGTTGGCAGCAACTTATGGTCTCTTTCCAACTTTAGGGTTTTTATCCAAAACATCTACCCCCTAAGTTTAATGGCGTGAAAACATATAGCCCAAACAGTAGGGCTTTTTATAAAAAAATAAAATAAAAATATGCTGTAATTGCTTACATCTTAGGCAACAAAGAGGTGTGTGTTTACGCTTTATTATAATGGTATAGAAGTATAGATAAAGAGAAAAACTTTGTTTTTTTTTTATTATAATGAAATAACTCAAAAACTACTGGGCCAATTTAAAAAAAAATCACTATTAAAAAGCTACGTTGCCAGTGAGTAACATAGGCTATGTTTTATATTATTTTTTAATTTCACGCGGATGGAGTCGCAGGCCAAAGCTAGTGTTAAATAAAAAAAGCCATTATAACAATAGCACAGAGCAAATGCAAATATTCTCTCTGAATGTAACAATGCTACCGTAAAACTTGTTTTAGCGATTTGCTGTCTCTGTTTTCTCGAAGTAAATGAAAGAGATGTCAATATACGTAGTGCTTCTATAATCGAAACCTACAATAAACAATGAAGTAGTCAAGGTCAAACATCTAAAACATCGACCTTCAGATTTCTTATTGAGACACATTCTAAGGAATCATTTGAAACTGGTGTAGACTGATTCATATCTACGAACAATAAATTTCCAATTAATTATATTCAGTCCATAATCTATACTCATATTATAAAGACGAAAAATGTGTATTTATATATGTATTGAAATAACACAATAACTTCTGGTCCAATTTCAAACTCTTCCACTTTAAGAAAACTAAGTTATTGCTGAGTAACAAAGGCTATATTTTAAAATTTCACGTGGACGAAGTCGCGAGCAACAGCTATTAGTAGTACAAAACGTTATTTATTTCAAACTAACACCGGCAATTTTTCATCAGAATCGAATTTGAATTATATTTCTATTATTCATTTTTTTGTCCACTCTATCAAAACATAGTCATTATTAGATTTTATATCATAATTCCTAAAACTTCATAGCACTAAATTAGAACATCGTATAAACGTTTATGAATGCTCTCAATTTGAATATATATTAGCTTAATTTTTCCTAAATATTCAATGAATCTTTTTAAACTTGATCTTTACTATTCGGCAGATCGGCCCACTGATAGATCGATAATGGGTATTTTTCATTTTGGGTCGTTTAATTGTTTGGATTTTATCGGCCAAATGAGAAACACCCTTTAAATTCCGGTGATAAGTTAAAGTATAGTGAAAATTACTCAATTAATTTATAAAAATATTTGTTAACATTGATACTTTAACTAGAATATTTTAATATTAATGTAAATTCCGCACGACCGGTTTCTATCTTTGGTAAATAAGGAATCCGATCAGTCCTACGCTAATGGAAATTTTGTAATTTATTCCGATCCCGTAATCTTATATTTTCAATCAACATTACACGAGTAATAGATTCTTAAGATTATAATCCAACTTGTAATATGAGAAGAAATATAATTTGAAATGGAATTGAAACATTTATATCAATAAGGGCCTGTCCCACAACTGGCTGATAGAGGCTCAGAAGGCTTAAAACTGACGTGACTGTTAGATAAGAGAACAAACGATATTTCCATCATATATTTTACATGTTGGATTGTTATCAGATAATTAGCAATTTGGTGAGACAGACCTTTAATCTTTTATGTATTATATTTAAAATATCAGATTTGTAAATAAGAAAATCATAATTCGAGTCATGTGGCTCATGTTCGACCTATAATGCATCGTATTATAATGAAAATATTCTTCAGGTAATTTTACAAGTAATAAGAAATTTAAGTTTAAAAAGTTATAAAGTGGAAGTTTTCTAAGGGTACAAACCATTATTCTTCCATAATTGGACCAAGTTTACTGCATAAACCTGTGTCAAGATCCCGCAGGGGTGTTCTGATTTAATATATATTCGCAGCTGGCCCCTAATTTACTAAACCTGATCAATATAATTTTATTCGTCGTGTTCTTAACCGGCCAGTTTTAAATTTAATTTTGTTTTTTTTTACTGTATTACGAGGTTTACTCTTTGACCGAAAATGTTGTCCGCGAATTTCTACTAACAAAACACATGTACAAAAAGATATCGTTGTCTCTATTTATTCAAATGTAATAATGAGCGAGGTGACAATACACTTTTAAACATATTACTCAGCGATACGGTTAACAATATCTCTAGTGTGAACGAAGCTTAAGGAATAAGTGGTGTATATATTGCATCGTAATTAATTGAAATAACTTAGGGCAAGAACAAAACCTGTTGAGAAGAGTATGTAAAGATAATTACTTACCACCGTTTTAAGACTAAGTTGGTTCTACCTGTATCATTCAAAAATCTTTAATCACAGTAAATTCAACCATATTTTGAAAACCAAATAATAAAACAAGAAAACTTTTATGCAAATGAAAATATGTCACTGTACTTTTTTTGTTATTTAGATAATCAAAATCATGATATAGGTTGTAAATTTCGTGAGAATTAGTCGCTGCTTTTTTGTTCTTTTTAATCAAATTTTATATTAAAATAAGTAATTGTATTACTCAACAAATGCTAACAAAAATTACTTTTAACCAGTTTTTAATGCCGTTTTTAGTTTTAGATAGAAATAGCAATGTATATCAGACTTTTAAATAAAGAAACCTTGTTTTTGTATTTTGGTTAGTTTCCATTAATTAACTGTGTAGCAACAACATTATTCCCTCTTTCACTCTATTGTCTTCACTGTTAATATATTTTCTTTAAAAACTGACTAAACAACCCGTTTGATAATTTGCCTGACGTCAAAGAATGATGTCGTTAAAGATATCGTGGATGATAAAACATATATTTCCATTTAAATTTTAATACCAATCTTATTAGAGTTACAAAGAGCTGTGGATTATTAAATTTTTATATTACAATAATAGCGGCCGAGAATGACGCTTTCGTAATCCAGGTGAATTATAAACCGGCAAATTGTATATTGAACTTTTTAAAACACTTACAATCTGTACAACGCAAAACAAAACTCGTCAAGCAACAAGTTACCACGAGAAAGTTGAAACAAGTTATATATGGTAATTTTTAGTTACTGCTTGTATACAAATAAACTACATTTGTAATTATTAATTAATTATGACATATAGAAATTATGTAATCATTATAAATAATATCTTTATGTGAAAATAGGATGTTATTTTTATTTATAAATATGTCAAGCTAATCTTAATAATATGCAAAGATAACCATTTCATAAATAAATAAACGTTTATTTCGTATCTCATTCTAAACATTCCACTAACTCGCAACACATTAGGTATAACCAGTGTAATGAAAACTAAAATGTTCGTTTAAAATCTCTGTTCTGTTTAAAGACACAAAAAATACAATAAAGCGATATTATAATTATACTGAAATTATTCTAATTATTTTCACACGTTTGATTTTAAAAATAAATATGAAATAGAATTCAGACTCACCGATTCTTATGCTTAAGCCCTCTTGTTTTAAAAAGTTAATTAAAAAAAAAATTGGTTAAGGTCAGGTCAGATAATACAAAGTTGTTTGTAAACAAAGGCGATGACGCGTTCCCGCGCATGCGCAATGCACAGCGCTCGATCTGTCAATATGCGCACCACGCCCGCAACCAGCGCGCCAACTGAGTACCGAGCGACACGACTTTAACAACCACGCATATCTAATTTTAACTTGAACTGGTTAACGATAAACACCAGCCGGTTCAGCGGTAATTGATAAAGGTGCATCTTGCAAACAGGATGCATTTTTATCAATATTTACTGTCTATTTAGTATGTGAAAAAAATGTATACCACTACTAAGTCTTGCGTAGATGTAGGTCAGAAATAGTTAATGTTACATGCCTCTTAAGTAGGCTAAATATTAAAGTTTGTACTTACTATGTACGTGGGCAACTGCACGTACATACTTTTGTCTTTAAAAGCAGGTCGCTAAAAGAAAACTTATTTGTTTAACTAGCTTGTTACGCGTATATTTTTATAACAAAAACGTACTAGTTAAGGTAATATATTTTGATTCTACCTACCTTTCTTTGATTTAAATTGGTTATTACAATAAGTGTTCCTACAACTTGCGCCTATTAATTTAAGCCACGACCAGTGACATAGCTGTTCTAGCATTTTTTTATAAAAACAAATGAGTTACCAAAAACGTGTGACGTCAAATGTCATTTCACACAACTACCGTGTTATTGTCGATGTCGACGGGTTCCTGGCTTGTCCGACGGCTTAGTTTGTAAGCATAAGTGTACTGGGCATTTTATATAAATGGCTATGAGTAATCAATTGAATATAAATACAAAGCAAGGTGGTCATTGACCTCATAACAATGCGCTCTTTACCACGATACATGGCCACGATAAAAAATGTATATCCACCTTGTAAGGAATATGTAAGCAATAAATACTGACCCTTATCCAAATTAACGAACGAAGATATTAAGATATTTATGAGAAAAAAATTCAACGATTATCAAGGTTCGAATGTAATTAAGCATTTTCTTTTATTACATTCTTGCTACTTTTTAACAAAAGGAAAGTAAATAACCAAATGACGCATCAAGTTTTGTATTGTAAGTATTGTATTATTTGCTTTTCCATGGTTAGTACATTACACTAAGCCCTTAAATTATTGTGTGTATAGTACCATCGATTATTTACCATAGAGTTACCACAAATCGTAAGATTTTTTTAGTAGAAAAATAAAAAATAAATGTCATTTGTGACGTGACATACTATGGACATACGTTCACGTTCTTAATTTACTTTTTAAGTTCTGTGTAATAATTACAAAATCCTATATAATTCTATAAGTAATTAAACATAGAATTATGGATCAAAATATTATAATAAGGTATCCATTAGCTTATTTTATAATTGGATAATTCTAAAACGTTTTGGGAATAATTTTCTAGTAATTATATTTGTTTACTTTTACAGTGAACCTAGGATTTCAAAACAAGTTTATATAATGCTAATGTTGAACATAATCGGTGTTATTGCGACTATAATTTTCATAATTATTCTGATATTGTGGGCACTTGGTTAGTTATCTTACTTTAGGGTAAGAATACACATTCCATTATTTGGGACGTACCTGCGACAAGCGTACCACTAGCTAGCGTCTCGTCGTGTACGATCCCTTGAAAATTTGACTGGAATATGTATATCTGACCTAAGTATATTGGACAGGGGAGGGGACGTACAGAAAGAGTTTCCTTTGTTACTGTTCGCAGGTATAATTCTGGTGGAACCCGACACATCGCCAGTTATAAGAAATTATATAATCAACTTCAACAACAAGCCAAATGTATCCTCCATCATAAATCGTGCGGAAATCATGGATAGGTTCTGGGACTTAGCGGATATTCAACAATATCCCTTCGAAGATATTACTAGGGGTGTTGGATTTTATTAAATAAAAAACCTCTTCAACCTAGACTTGTAACTTTATTTAACTTCAAATGAAAATATAATACAATGTATGGAATATCAACTGGCCGTCCTATCTAGATATTAGAATCCCTTAAACCATTCCTTTACACTAATAAGGCTACCCTTAAACGCTACAACCTTTTGTAAATATAAAATGGCTATACGCAAATTATTCGTTTAATTATTGCTTCATTTTCCCGCCTTTGCGATATAGGACGTAATACAATTCCTGAATGCCTAACGCTACGCAAAAATTATACAGAGTTATACGAAATTTTTAAAACAAATTAATTTTCATTCATGATGAGTACACAAAAAAAATAGTAGATTTTATACATAATAGTTATTAGAAATAAAAAAAACAATCATTAGTGCTTGTTTCCATTGTCGAAAAATCTGTCATATGCTGTCACTTTCACGGAGAAAAATGCTTTTTTTTGTACAAATTATTCGGTAGTCAAACCATACAAAAATGTTTATATTAATACGATTCAATTTTAATTTTACTCGTTGTAATTTGCTTTTAAAATCATTTTCATACATACATTTTGAACTTGTAATCATACAACAATTGAGTTATTATTATGTGTTATTGTTTATTAATATATAAAGAATATCACTTAATGTTAAAAGAATTAAAATGAGTCATCTAAAAAAAATAATACAAAAATAATACATTTTAAATAATGATTTAAAACTTACATAAAACTTAAATATAATCTCATACAAGCTTAAGCAAATACAATAAGTGAATATAACATAGGATAATTGTATATACCTTATGATATGCTAATGATATGATAAAAAATCTACACTGGTTCCAGCCAGTCTCCGCGACCGTGTTCTATAAAAATGTCAAAACAATAAAGTACTTTTATAATCTGTAATAATTTTAATCTGTGTCAAACAACATGTGGACTTTTGTTTTTGATTAAAAACAATTGTTTTGAACACTGGCAATAAAAAATACTAAGATCGTTAAATTGACATAATCTTTGACACATGACATTCAAATGTCAAACTGACGTTTGTTGACATAATCTTTGAGAGTTTCTTTTGTCCAAATATCGTACAGATTATGTTTTATTGCTTTTAATGCTAGAAAATTACTTTATGCTTCATCATTTTTATAATACATAGTCATTACAATACAAATAAAAACTATCATGTATATATGTATATTGACTACCATGCACTTAATAAACCCTTAACTATATCACTACCAGTATTTCTTTAAGGCATAACTGAATATATTGTCAGATCTATCAGGAAGCATGTTATCTTAATTAGTAATTGATGGCTTTTCATTGACATTAATTGTATATATTGTAAGCATATTTTGCTGAATATTAACATGGCAACATTTTATTGTATTGCCATACTAATAGATAATATTTACCACAGTATTTTCTAACCTAGATCTTACAGAGAAATACTTGCCTCTTAAAAGAGATAAAACTTTGAAAGTTCAACTAAACTCTAGATTAAAAATAATTCTATTTATTTTACACTTAATAAAAGCAAAAATTAAATGTCATGTAAATTATAATGCTAATTTATATTTTGTTCGTTTTTATTGTTGTAAAATGCGTTTTAGGTTATTTGCATTTGCATTTTAATAATTGAAATAAAACGTAAATCTTAAACGAGTTAATTAAAGTGGAGGCTTTTTAGGTGTTGTGGGATAAATACTTCTCACTGGGGTTCATTTAATAGCTTTTTATCCAAAACTTTCACACCATTATTCTTTCAAAAATATCATTGTGTTAGAGATTGGCATTTATTACTGGTTACCACGGCAACCGGTACGTCTCCATAATACTAAAAGTTTGTTCAACTAATCGTCGCTTAACGCAATGGCGCGCTAAATTATCTTTAAAAACTAACATACAAAAGACGTCACAAATTTCGTCGCCCAACAGGACACATATAATTGTGTATATAAAAAAATAACTAGCCAATATGAGTACATAAAATATTAAAGCGGAAACGTGTAAAATCCAAATTATTACATCAAAATTTTACAACAATGCCAAATAAAAAATCTTCACGACATCAAACAATTCGAGTATGATCAGAATCACATGATTTTCGAGTACAATTACTTCGTCACTAATATTAATGATACAATGTTCTTAATTATATTTACTTTGCTAATATATGTCTTAGAACCAAGTGCACTTTAATGAGTTCTCACTACTTTCATAGTTCAGTTTGTTAGAACAGCGACCTTATTGCTAATTAAATAGAGTAGGTTTTCCCTTGTTGGCAATTCGTCATAAAAGCATGACACTAACGCCGAATAACTTATACGTATACTTGTTGTAGCCGATTTATTGTGGCTTTACGATATGGTATATGAGCATCGATATTCATTTTAATCGATTATAATAAAAAAAAGGCAATCGCACTGTTTTTTTAATTTTCAGGCCGCGACAATCATTTGAGAAAAACTTATCTAAATACGATTCTTTAACAATTTTTTTAACAGCTCCGATTTTGTATTTTTAAATTTATTTTTACAATCGAGTCGCGGTTTTGACTTTAAGACACTGATGTAATGCTTTTTTTTGCTAAAATCAAGCTAAATTAAGTTCTATGTTATTGAACAGTTGACCTCACAACGTTTTAGGAAACAATTCGGTATATTGTTTGTCGCACTTACGATTTACCTCATGGACGGAGATCCAACTATCATTCAATACAATGACGTGATATAAACATTTGTCAAATATTGTCCAACAATTTGGGCAAATATGCGGTAAATTTGTGAAATACTATCTAACAGTTTGTCAAGTTTTCGGCATATTTGTCAAACATTGTCCAACAGTTTCGGCAAATAATCAGCAAAGTTGTCGAATATTATCCAACAGTATAGACAAATGTTCGGCATATTTGTCAAATATGGTTGAACAGTTAAGGCAAACATTCGACAAAGTTGTCAAATATTGGTTAACAGATTGGGCAAATTTTCGACATATTATAACTATTTGAACTGTTTAATGCACAAATTTGGTGTTCACATTGGTGTTAATTTGACCCAAAGTATTGGGTTATACAATACTGTAAAAAAGAGCGTAATAACAATTCCATATTCTATAAGCCAAAACTACGTGTACAGTCGGCTCCTAAAATTACGGAAAGCCAAGAAAGGGATATATGTATATTAATATATATGTATATGTCTGTATAACCAGTGCAATGAGTATACCTAAACTATAAAAACGTGTCGTCTATATTGGAAGCATCAACAATTCGTCAATTCCGTGAGTGCTAAATTAAGTATACGCTCTAAGCTTATCAACTAAAACGCGAAGACTTTAAGGTTCAAAATCGCTTCAACGTGACACAATACGACCATCTAATGAGATTCTTTCATTCAGAAAACGTCAGACTATGTTTAAGCGATTTTAACCCTAATAATAATGGTCCATCTTTTACGATTTGATATAACACTTGTCACGCACAACCTACTCATTTTAACTCTACCTCCACTTGCCAAAGTACAGTCAGCTACATTAAAATGTATATATTTACAACACTTTAAAAACTTACAACCTTCGGTTTTAATAAATACATATACAAGTACTAGCTCCCGTGCGGCTTCATTTGCATGGATTTATAAAAACTTTATTTTATTGTTTACATTTGTCAAATTCTCAATTGCAAATGTTAAAATTACCGTTACCATAACATTGTTTCCTTAATATTGACAGCTTGTATTCTATGGTCGTTTTTCGTGTACACTTTTTATCCAATTTATTTACCCCCAAAGTTTAATAGCGTAAAAATATATAGCCTAAATCGTGACGTAAGTGTAGGGCTTTTTATTAAAGTAAGGATTATTTAAAGATATGTTGTAATTGCTGACATCCTACGCCACAAAGTAATATGTTTACGCTTTATTATATTAGTATAGATTTTATATATACAAAGTTGGCAACCATAAAGACAGATAAATCTACGTATTTTTAAAACGGAAGGCTTTAGTTTCTGAAGCTTGATTACAAATTTATGCAGCTGACTGTACAAAAACTTTTAATGAATAGAACGAAGATTGTTTCTTTACATTAATGGCAGATATTTTGCAAAGGAGTTTTCATAATAATTTCCAAGGCCATCATTATGTTATTCAACAGTTCTATAGAATTTTTAGAAAGTTTAAAAATAAATTTAATACTGTTTGTCTTTAGTTTTGTTTTTTAATTTTCAGCAAACTTATACCTTTTATAGTTCAATTTATATATCGATATTATTGATATTATTATTTCGATGTTAATATTCTTTAGGTATTAAATTAAAATCTAAATTTTAAAATAACTACGAGAACTTAAACATTATTAACACTTGAATAAAATGTTTAATTTATGAATATAATTCGATGTCATACCTTATATTGTAAAACCGTTGTCAAATGTACTTAAAAAAAACTTGAAATAATGTCCTCAACCTGCGATTTGTGTTATGCGTAGATATAAAAAATCTGTAAAAGGTAAAAAGATGTAGATATTAAGTGTTTGTGTTAGTCTACTACACACATATAAATATGAAAGATTTATATTTTTGTATATATTGAAATTAATCAAAATACTGGGCCGATTTCAAAAAATCTTTTACCAAGATACGTTAATACTAAGAAAAAAAGCCATCTTAATAAAATAAACGCAAAAGATTAGATGGATGGATCTTTGTTAGACTTTGTAACCTAAACGGCTGAACGGATCTCGATGAAATTTGGCATAGTCTGGAAGAACACATAGGCTACTAACTTTTGTTTTTTGAACTCCACGAGGACGGAGTCGCGGGCAAAAGGTAGTATGATATCATTCTAAATTCTACTTTAAACCTCAAAAATATTAAAAAAAAAAACCACTTACGCGTTACTTGTATGCACACCCCATCGCGTGAATATTTTGAGACCAATATATCACAGAAAATGTTTCATTGCACGAGTGAGTATGATTCGATAGGATAGAACTCCTTGCTGAGCATGTGCGATGCGTTGTGCGCCATTTTATAGCCCCACAGGCTCATTGCTTCTTTACACGTTATCTGAAAACGAATACAAGAAACATCATCTTGTGCAGACAAATATTACACTTTTAATTTTAAAATAATAATGCAAAAGTATGGGCACAATTTTTTATTTGCAGAGCAAAGAGTATAGTAAAAAAAAACCACAGATACAATAATCATAATCATAGAGCATACTTAACATCAAAGTATTTACACTTAATCTATATTAATATTATAAAGAGGAAAGATTTGTGTGTTTATATGTAT